CCCAGTCTGTAGGTTCTCTTTTGACTCTTTTGGTGAAGTCTTTTGAAGAGCATAGGTGTTTGATTTTTAGAAGATCCCAGTTATCTAGCTTATCTAAGTTCAATAAATTTTTAGCAAAGAGGGATGCAGAAACAGCTAAAGGGAACTGGTCCAGAGCAGTAAAGGATGAGAAAATTCTTCAGCATCCATTTCAGTCAGTGAACAGTATTGAGAACCTACTGCATGCCATGCATCATATTTGATGCTAGAACTATGAAAATAAAAGACATTGTCACGTTTAAAAATCTAAAATAGGAAAGTCAGGTTTTATAAGAAAAAATTTTGAGTGGTGAGAATTTTTATACTTGACAAGTCTCTTAATATTGTTATTCACTCTAAAAAGACATTTTCTGGTGTGCTGTAGTATCTTGTGCTAGTTAAAAGAAACGTAGAAGCAATTTCTGAAGAAAAATAAGTAGTTCAGTTTGGCTACAACCATGAAAGATCAATGTCTCAGGATAATTATTAAGAGAGAATGTATTACAGAGATGAAATACTTATGAAGTTGCTAAGTAGTTGAGGAAATGTTGCTTTAGTAAGTTATTAATGTAATTCTCTTTAGTGTTTGCTTGGGCTAGTTTAGCAAATCATTCGTTTTCACTAAATGAAATTATGGAGTTTCTAGTTCAGGTTTTGCTAATACTTGTTTAGTAAGGGATGATAATACAAGCTATTTCTTCAGCAAGGTTTCATTACTACACTAATCTAGAATAATAAATTTGAGATGGAAAAAACACCTGTGAGTTATCACATAGCTTGGCCTTAATTCACTTTATGAACCTAATCTGTTGTTTTTGGAATTATTGCCATAACTGATATTTTGGTTCAGGTATTTACCAAAATTGAGGAAAATGTAAATTGTATGTCATATGAAATTAGATTTTATGTTATCCCTAATGTCAGCAAAAAAAGAGGAAGACTCTCAGTGAGGTGGATTGACACAGTGGCTGCAACAATGGTTTCAAACATAGCAATGATTGTGAGGATGGCACAGGACTGGGCAGTGTTTCATTCTGTTGTACATAGGATTGCTACAAGTTGGAACTGACTCAGTGGCACCTAACAACAACGTCTGTCTGCTAATAAACTCAATATCTTTACCAATCCATTTGCCATGGCAAAAAACATTTTACCAGGTGACATTCCTTATTATTTTCAAGAAAGAAGTTGATGTAGCTTTATATGTAGAAATATTGCATCTTTTGCTGAGCATTCTCTATAATGATATGTTCCTTGGTAGATTATTGTAAATAAAGGGATTTCCATTTTTTATCTTTTAGTTTGCTGGAAACCATGTCTCACTATACAGATGAACCCAGATTTACCATAGAGCAGATAGATCTGCTTCAGCGCCTTCGGCGTACTGGAATGACTAAACATGAAGTTCTCCATGCCTTGGAAACTTTGGAACGTCTCGATCAAGAGCATAGTGACAAGTTTGGAAGAAGGTCCAGCTATGGAGGAAGTTCATATGGGAATAGTACCAACAATGTTCCAGCATCTTCCTCCACAGCTACAGCGTCCACACAGACGCAGCATTTGGGAATGTCCCCATCACCCAGCAACAGTTATGATACCTCCCCACAGCCTTGCACTACCAATCAGAACGGGAGGGAGAATAACGAGCGATTGTCCACCTCCAATGGAAAGATGTCACCAACTCGCTATCATGCAAACAGCATGGGTCAGAGGTCATACAGTTTTGAAGCCTCAGAAGAGGACCTAGATGTAGATGATAAAGTGGAGGAATTAATGAGGTTAGTGACTTTGCTTTTTCAGAGTCCCCAACAAATATATATGTCCTTAAAATGTTTTTTGAATAATAAGTTATTTCAGTTCCTTATTTATAATGACTGTGATTTCTCCCCTTCTTTTGGAAATGAAAGAAAAAAAATTCGAATTTTATGTTTTAAATTTTTTTTCTCTTTTACTTCAATCCTTTCTCTTTGCTGTTTGACAAACGTTTTCCATTCTCTCTGTTTATCAGAGTTTAGCCTTTTCTTTGTGGCTCTAATTGCTAACTTCTGGCTAACAGCTATATTTTAATCCTTAAGTCCATTATATGTACTTTTTCTGAGGGCTAAGATTATTTTATCATGATACAGAATATGTACACTCTTAATTTTTCCCTGCGACATTCCAATCAACAAAATAATTTGAGCACCTATTATATAAAAAGTAGTGTTCTTAAGAAGAAAAATAGACATGATTTCTGCCCCTAAAAGCGTAGAATTCTGATTTTGGCTGTAGATACCCACTGTCATCAAGTTGATTCCAACTCACAGCGACACTATCTGTAGGACAGAGTAGACCTGCCCTGTCAGGTTTCCAAGGCTGTAAATCTTTATGGAAACAGACTGCCACATCTTTCTCTCGTGGAGCAGCTGATAGGTTTGAACCTCCCTCCTTGCAGTTATCAGCCAAGCACTTTAACCACTGTGCCACCAGGGCTCCTTGACAATAGATATGTATATATTTTAATATAATTGTTATCAGATAAGTGCGAAGTACCTAGAGTTTTAATCACTTAGAAAAGAAGAAGTCCACTTTCAACAGAGGTAGTAGAAAAGGCTTCACACTGGACCTGGAGCATTTTAAGGGCAGGAACCATGTCTTATTCATTGTTGTGACTCCAGAATCTAGAACTGTCCTTGGCACATGGCAGTTGTGCCAAGTGAATTTGACCTAAACCTTAAAGAATAGCTTCAGTTTTAAAATGTAGGAACTTTATTTAAAGTTGCTATTAGCAGGTAAAGAAGGCGAGGCATATTTAGTGTGACAATGATTGTAGATGGGCTAGACTATGGTAATAAGAATATTAGGAGATAGTACCAATTTTGGAAGGCTTTGAGTTCCATACTAAATAGTTTATGTTTAATTTGGTTGTAATTAAGGAGTTTTTACAGGTCTCTAGGAATAGAGATAATAAAAGCATTGTTTTCAGAAGATTGTCACTACTATAGAAGGAAGTGTGTATTGGGGGAGAGGCCTGCAGACAAACTAGGTAGAGTAGATGATGAAACAATATATAGAAGGAATTTGTCAGAGAGAAAATTAAAACCTATAATTTCTGAATTCTAGTTCTTTCTAATTTTCAGACTTAAAAATAGTGTAATAGTGACATAATATTGCCACGTGGAAGATTCATCCTGTATTACTACAAAAGTGAAATATCCTTTAAAGAAATGAACTGTCCTGAATTAATTTTAGGGTAGAACTGCCTTATATTGAATTATGGGTCAAATGAACTATTACTTCTAGTTTCCAGTGTAATTCCTGTAATGAGTAGTTTCATAAAGTAGTCACAGGACCTTGTTACATTAAGCTTCTAAAATTTAAAAATAGATGAATTTGACTTTGATTTTGTTTTTACTTGTTAAAGCAGCTGGCCAAAGTTCAGATGTTGCTTTTGAATTTAACTTAGAAATCATTGTCGAAAGTAAAAGGTAGAACCATTTGGGCAAATAAAAGTTATTTCAGTTATTGAAATATACACAATTAGCTTCTAATTATCCTGAGTTGAGAGGATAGTATCAACAAAATTTATTTCTTAGAATGCTACCCTGTTGTTGTTATTATTGCTATTTTGATAAGCTTTGGACATAACAGTTAATTCCCAAATATATATTAGACTAACAAGAAGTTTGGGAAAACCTTATTTTTAATAAGACTTCAGAAGATTGGTTGGTCTAATGAGGGTCTAAAAACTTGACTATTAACTTGTAGTTAATAGTCCTCAAAATAGACAGAAAACCCACTTACCAACGACTAGGATTTGTAGTTAAATCCCATTGTAACACACATCCAGGTTTCAGTGTTAAACATATACGTGTTTTGTACCTTGTTATTTACATATAAGCTGCCACTTGTTCATAGCTAGGAAACTTTATCTTCACTTTCTCTGGTTCTTTCTGAGAACTTCTCCTTTGTTGTCCTCTAAACTTGTAGGGGTCTCATTGGGCTTTTTGGCTTTCTTTGGTTCTCTACCCTCACACCCTTGCCCACAGCTACACTCCTTCACTCCCCCAGTGCACCCCATCTCTCATTTTTCTCAACATTACAGTTGATAGTTATCCTTCTAAAGTCAGTGGGGGAAGTATGTTCAATGTCTGTTCCCACTTTTAAAGATTACAACCGTCTTACAAGGTTGGTCAGAGATAAATGAGATTCACAAAAATTAACGAATTTGTCCAAGAAAATTTAAATATTAATGGCAGAGCTGAATTCTAGCTTGCGTATTTATTACACGAGTCGCTTGTATCTGTTGCCTCTGTAAACAAATTTTTCATGTCTATAGAAAGTGCAAATGCCTTAATGGGTTTACTGTCCCAGATGGTATTTGCCATTTCAAATCAATCACTTATTAATTAAGTCAATTTTTATTTGATGGAATGTTAGAGAAAATTTTAAGCAGTGATTTTTGCTGAGTATCCTGTGGCCACTTAGGGCTATACTACTCTTGCTGTTCACTCAACACTATGGTGCTATTATAGTGGCCTGGATTTGGTGGTCTCTCAATGGGGGATGGAAACCCTGGTGGTGTAGTGGTTAAGTGCTATGGCTGCTAACCAGAAGGTCAGCATTTCAAGTCCACCATATGCTCTGTGGAAACTCTATGGGGCAGTTCTATTCTACTCTGTCCTATAGGGTCACTATGAGTTGGAACTGACCCAACGGCAGTGGGTTTGGATTTTTTTTTTTTAAGGTTGGGTAGAATGGGTACCTGAATTCCTCCTCACATTGTTTTCTACATATATAATTCACCTCTTGTTGCTCACATTCTCCAACCTCTAAGACACTCAACAAGAAGACATACTTCTTTCAGATCCCATAACCCACTGAGTCCACAATTTAACTCCTAACAATTTCAAGGTAAATAATGGAAATTTTTTTGTAGAACTCAATCAAGTTATAACTGTACACCTGATTAGCTCGTTAAGAGTCAGAAAGAAACTGCTACTTTCTCCATTTTTGAGTTGGAAAGCATAAAAAAAATGAAAGAGCTAGTAAATTCTCAACAAATTGTTGAGTATAACATTTTACAGAGGATTTTAAAGTTAAGAGCTAGAAAGAAGATCCATTTCACATTTTAATGTTTGGAAAATGTAGCTACTAATATGGTAGCATTGGTGGTGCAGTGGTTAAAGAGCTTTGCTGCTAACCGAAAGGTCAACGGTTCAAACCCACCAGCCAATCTGTGGAAGACAGATGTGACAATTGGCTCCTGTAAAGATTTACAGCCTTCAAAACCCTATGGAACAGTTCTACCCTGTCCTATAGGGTCACTAAGTCAGAATTGACCTGGTGGCAGTGGGTTTATATATATACACACACACACACACATATAAATACATATATCTAT